ACCATTACAAAAAAAAATGGAAGTGTTTAAAATTTTTTTCCCCTAGAATCTTAATTTGAGATATCTAACAGTTCTCTTTCTATGCAGTTCTTTAGAAATTGCACAAATCTTAGCATTGTAACTTAACCATTGAAAAGAGATTGCAATGAAGGTCCAAGAAGAGCTAAATCACATAGTATTGGGAGCTGAGCAGCTATACAAAAATAAGTGATGGGGTGTTGATTTTGCAACTTACTAGAATGCCTTAGGAAAATCCAGAAAATGGATATTTTAGCTAATTTTTCTATCTGTTTACAGTTGCAGAAAGTATATAAGAAACTATTTTTCAGATACAAAATGAAATGAACCAAATATAAAATAGACTTACTTTCTTACACTCTTATTTGTGTAATACATGCTCACTAAAGATTTAAAAACAGAGAATGAAAACAGGACAAAGAGAGCTCAGTATTTTGCTATGTGGGGTTTGAAATAGCAGAAAAAAACTTTTACATGATGCTTAAGAAAAAGGTCTCTATGAATTCTGTACCTCAGAGCCTTTGGACATGTCCTATAACTATAGGACTGTTATAGTTACTATTTTCCCAAAGGCACAGTGTATAAGGAGGAAAAAATTACAAATATAAGAATTGACACTGGAAACAAAAAATGCGAAACAAGCAGCCTGAATTAACAGTGTAAAGACTAATCAAAACTGCACTGTCCACCACAAAAAAGCAGCCTATTGTCCTATTTATAACTCGAGGCTCTCTGAATTCTTTTCTAATGTCCCTGGGCACTTTGTTTCATCACTGCATGAGTGTTCAAATGTATACATCTACTGTTTCTCCCTATGAGATGAAAAAGCATGGGATGGGATAAAGCAAGTAAAATTAAGGTATAGAATATAGTTTTAGTTTCGCTTTGTTTTTGTTTTGTTTTGGAATTGAACCCAGGGGCACTAAACCACTGAGCCTCATTCTTAGCCCTTTCTATATTTATTTAGAGATAGGGTCTTGGTAAGTTGCTTAGGACCTCGCTAAATTGCTGAGACTGGCTTTGAATTCGTGATCCTCCAGCCTCAGCCTCCCAAACCACTGAGATTACAGGTGTGCACCACCATCTTACAATATAGGTTTTGAATGTGGCAGGTAAAAACTAAGTCCTGCTATATATATCATCCCCACTTTTGTGGGGATAATAATAATATAATACTAATACTGGGTATACATTTTTGGTATAATTCTGATTTTTAGTATAACTGTGACAATACTTTAATCAAGTAATCAAATACTATGCTACCTATTATATATCACTGAAAATTAAGCTGGTTGTTGACCTTCCTGCTTGCTGTCTGGTGTGAATAATTGGTTCAGTATTATATTTCTGAAAATAATTTTAAAATTTATAATTTTAAAATAATTTTAAATTTTAAAAGGAAAACTTTTTCTCAAAAGGAAAAAGTATGAAAACAGACACATCTGGAGCCAGGAGTAAACTGTACACAAAGAGTTGTTAAGTTCTCTGTACCATGTCCAAACTTACGCCCTTTATAACTCAAATTGAAGAAATTTTAAAAATGTAACAATTTAACCGTCCCACAAATAAAGGAGGTATTTCAGCAACTGCTTTTATATTCTATAGTGATTGGGATGTTTAACTTGCTAGAAATGGAGATAACAAAGTTAAGTCCAAACTTCACTAATAAATCAGGCTTCGAAATATCAGAGATAGTTTATTGATCACATGTAAGGTCTTAAACTGTTTACATTTCTAAATATCCAATTTCATGTGAGCCTTATGAATAGGAACTTGATGTGAGCTATATATAGAATTTAATACAAGTAAAGTAGAAAAAAATGAAGTTCTGAATCAATCTACGTGGTTGTTTATTAGAAAACAGGTTAAGAACAATAAAGCATGATAGTTCATCAGTATTTTATTTGTTAATTTATACTTTAAAATGTAATAAATATATTGCAGAATTCAGGGTTATATATTTTTAAAATGCAGTATAGTAATGAGAGAATGGTATTTACTTTCAGACTTTTAAATTGTAAAAAAAAAAAAAAAAAAAAAAAAAGATGGACATCATTTGACAAAGCTTTTTTTAAAGTTCAAAAGTACTGATTTTTCTTTTAAGTAATTTCACATGACATGACCACCAATTAAAAACAGAAGGATGTGCTTTAACCATGCCACTTTCAATTAAGAATTGAAATGTTTTATTTATGTTACACAATCAAACATCAATTTGAAAGTAAAGATGTTTTCCTGAAAATATACTTGAGATGAACATAATTGTACAATGTTGTTCCCTGGCACCAACGGACACCTACAAATCAATAAATAATTGAAACTTGCGATTTTAGTGAAAGGGAGTGTAGAGTCCATAAGATTGTTTTGTCCAGTGGCCCAAAGAGATCTTTCAAATTTGGTTAACTTTGCCTTCACAATAAATGAGACAATGTAGTTAACCTGGTGAGAGTCAATAGTACCTTGTTCAGCTTCTCACTACAGACCACCTCCTCCAGAGAATCTATAAGAGGAAATAAATACTTGAGACCATCACCCTTCTCAGCTAGTGACCATACAGGCTTGGATAGGTATCACCAGTTGGCCAGACTGGCGATATGAGCTGGGTTCCAAGGTGCTGGCTGTATCAATAACTAAGAAAATGGCAAAGAAACCACACAGCACATGAACATAAGTTTCTAAGGCAGGACGGCTTGGTGACCCAAGGGTCAGCTCTTGCTCTGGAAGGAGCAAGAAAGTGAGCATACCCCAAACCTTCTATTTATTGGTGAAAAGACATTTGAGAAAGTTCCACCCAAATAAGTCAAGGGATTGGATTTCGAAGGGTGGAGTCTTGCCACACCCACCTCAGGTGCTGTGTGGGATCAAAGGCAGAGCAAGAGAAAGGCACACACATGTCGCATAGCCCACTCAGGCACTAATGTCAAGCCAGGCCCCTCCTACACTCAAATGTGCATAGCTTACACACACAGCCCATGGATGGCTCCTGACAGATACGTCTGTCCCAACCATGATGAGTTAATTGCTCTCACTGAAGAACATGTGCAGAATACCCTCATAGAGACTAGAGCACCCCTTCAAGCCTCCCTGGTTGTCCTCCAGGATGAGAATGAAACTCTCATTTACACTGTTTCACCAGGCCCTCAGTCCCCTTCTTTCAACTGCACACTGTATTTTCAGAATTGTTAACACCACAATAATTACATCATTCTTCTAGAACCTCCTGTTACTCTCAACCTCTTTCAAAAAACTCAAATGGTAAACTAGAATGGTTATTAAACTGCAAGAAGTGGGAGACAGTAAGTTCTTGGGTATATAACATGAGTTTTTGCCTACGGGAATCTCAAATATAATGACAACAAATTTGCAGTTATAGTTCAGTATTTCCCTTAAAGTAGCTCCACTACTTTGCTCAAGGTAGCAGTATTAAATTGATATCTGAATATAAAACAGACCCCTCCCCAAGCTAGAGAAGATCCTAGCCATAAGACTGGGTCTCACACTCTTGGGTTGAATCATGAATACTATTTTTGTTCAATGAACAAAATAGACTGCCCATATTACATTCAATGTGAAGGATTCCACTCCTCCACGCCTACAAACTGACAGTACAAGAGTACCTTTAGCTCACAATATCTGGATTTGGGAGCTGAAGGGGAGAAGGTCAATCCTCTCTTGTCTTGCTATAGCATACCCATGTAACTTCCACCTCACTAAATATATCAATACCTCTGTTCCAGGCTGTTGACACTAACATGAATTTGATTAAATATCAAATATCACATCCTTTGATCCTGCAGATAAATATCTGGTTGCTGGGCCACCTGGTACCACAAATAGATATTCTCTGACTATGGATCTTTCTGGTACTTCAAGTGCCCTAATCTTACTAATCTGGTACCAATAAGTGTTTATTTTAGCCACAATAATGACAGCCTTTTCATCATCTATACTCCCCACCACCAACCCCACCCATTTGTTTACAGTACCTCATGATGTACCAAGATCAATAAAGCTAGCAAACAGAACATTTCATTACAAAACTTTGACAGAGGGTGCCTGGCTCTTCCACATACATTTGAATTGCCTGTGGGATATTGTAGGGCATGTCACAACTTGTAGGGGCATGCTGCATCAGAAAAGAGGAAGTGTTACTTGCTGGCTGCTATCTACTTCTCAGTCCTGGGGCCACGTGTAGCTAAGATGGCACCTGGCAATCAGCCAGGAGGCGGTGCTATAGGTTGTGATGAAAAATCAGACCACCTCCAGGATAGGTCCAGGACTCTTCCGCCTTCTTGGACAGCTCATGCAAACGTAAACTCTCTCCACCCCTCTGACCTTTATCCTGATTGGCTCCTGTGCATTATATTAGCTGTGTGTGCTTCCTCAATAAATGAGATCCTGCTTTGACTGGTCTCCCTGGCTGCCAGGGGAGGGCTGGGTGCGGGTGCCAGTTGACCTTTGTCTTTCTTGGCTCATCCTGGTCGGGGCTGCTTTCCCCATTTCTCCTGCAGGTCAGGAGGAAACGGGGGCTAAAAACCCCAAAGGACATTTTTTCCTTGCTTGGTAATGGTGCAGGTTCATAGCCATCTTCATCTCTCCAGATAGAACTGATTATTTAAGTTGGGGTGGTTTTGATCATGGTCCTGGTTTACTGTTGCCTCAGACAGATTAAATACTCATGGTCACAACCCTTCAATGTCTGTTGGGGTTTTTAGCTTCTTCTATCCACTCTGTCCTGCAGAGAGGCTTGGGAGAGCACGCCCCAACTCAGACTGATCAAGAAAGGTGAGGGTCGGCCAGCAGCCCACCCAGACCTCCCCACCGGAGGACAATCAGACCCACCTGGGAGACCAGTCAAAGCAGGATCTCATTTATTGAGGAAACACACACAACTTATATAAGGAGTAAAAGCCAATCATTTTAAAACACGGAAAAGCGGGAACCAATCAACATAAAGGTCAAATCAGCAGGAGGAATTCACATGTATACCCATACCATAGTTTCTAATGAAGAGCACAAGCTGTGCACAAGCACGGAAGAGAAGTAAGCCAATCAGGGAGGTTTCAAAACAACTTCAGTGTCCTTCTACTGGCATTTAGCCAGGTGCCATCTTAGTTTTTGGCCCTACAAATGTCTGAGTCATTTGAGTCCACAATGGGCAACTTCTGGGTGCTTCTTGTGTGGGCCTGGAAGGATCAAGAAGTAGCTCAGTGGTAAAACACATAGCAAACATATGGCCCTCGATTTGATCTCTAGAACCTTAAGTGTTGGGATCAGTGATTGAATTACAGGTCCCAAACTGTCCTATGACAGAGGTGATGCCCCTCAGAAGAACTCTCAGTGCAAAGGCACCAATCTAGGTATCCCAATTGCTATGCTGATGCCCTGCCCAATAGGAGGTTCTGTACAGCCACGGAGCTATTCGGTTCTTGTCCTTGAGGTTCAGATGCCAGCTGCTCAGGGGTAGAAATTATGGGCATAAGCTGATAATCATAATCAGGCTGCTCATACTCATGACCTTGACTCTTCTTGCTTTGAAGAAACTTTCTCACAATAAGTCCTTTTGATGTTTAAACCTATATAATAAACGTACCAAGCTTGCTCGTCGTCAGTCTTCCTCCATCAGGGGTTGCCTGGACCACTGCTTCTAGCTTTTTCTCTATTCTTTTTATCGTTAGTCTTTCCTGATCACTTCCTCCATAACTCATGGTTCCATCATATAAAGAATCTTTTATTCAGTGCTATTTGGCAGTGAAACAGTTTACCTCGTTTTTGCTCTTCTAACTGACTGCCACTGGTGCTGGCCTTTGGGGAAACATGGGACAATAAGAAGCCAACACAACCTTTTTCTCTTGCCTCCACTGTCCAGTATGTAAATAAGGGCTTAACTGTCATTTCAAGTTTGTGTCATTGTCCTAGTGGAATATTTTGACATCTAATTGCTTGATAGTAAGTATATGTTATCCACAAATCCAATATTTTTCCTTATAATTTAATAAATTTAATTTACTTTTATTTCATCCTACCAAAATGCAGAAAGAAATCAGTCCAAAGTACATCTCTCATCACTATAACCACTCTTGTATCTAGTTTATGAAATACAAATGAAACTGATATAAAAAGTTATATAGTTTTCTATCAAGTATTTCTTTTATTATTTTTTTTAGTTGTAGTTGGACACAATACCTTTATGTTATTTATTTTTTTGTGGTACTGAGGATCAAACCCAGGGCCTCACACAAGCTAGGCTAGCGCTCTACTGTTGAGCTACAACCCCAGCCCTCTATCAAGTAGTTTTATATAAAGGACCACATTTTATCTACTTGGTATGCCCTAAAGCTCTTGATACACAAATATACAGTGTTGAATTTAGATCCTTAGTGAGTAATTACACATATTACTATTGTTACCATAAATTAAAATATTAATGGTAACATTAATTTGCCATATTATGAGATTTCAGCAGCATGAAATACTTTTGATTGAGTTACTACACATATTATCAATGATCTTATAGGATTCAGCTAAAACAGTGTAATATCTGAAATGACTCTATAAAACAAAGAAAACAAAGTTCTATACTTAGAGAAACAAATTAATACAGAAGATTTAGAAATGATGTAGATAATATGTGTAACAAGAGAGGGAGAAAGAGATTATAATTTATAACAGATTAGTAATTAAAGGATGCAATTTACCTAAATTATAATATATAATGTTCACATATGAAGAAAGTAAAACTAATTAGGGCTAAAGTGAAATATCCAAAGTTCCACAATTATAACGGTAAGATTAATGATTAAAAATACATCAATTTGTTTTCAAGGAAAAACCACATAATTGATAGGGAAAGAATGTGATGCTGTCAGTCGAATTAGGATGTGGGAATATAAGCCTGGCAATCTTCAACCCCTTAATATTCTGAATTCTTCCCTTCTAGATTCCAGAAAATTATCTTCTTTTCCTATTTAAAAAAAAAAAAAACAATGAATAAAGAAATAAACAGGGAAAAACAAAAAATTAACACAAAAAATGGCACCTCAGTTTCTTTCTAGAGTGAAGCCTCAATATCATCTAGATAGAGAATTAGAAATCTAAGGAAACACAAAAATAGCATTCACATCAAAGCACACACTTTTAAGAAAACCAGCTATAGGAATAGGGGGTGCTGCCTCTCCCTGGAGCCTAATATCATTGTAAATATTGGTATTCCAGAATGGAAGGATCTGTATAACAGCACTAATCATCAGAGCCATGTAATAAAATTAAAGAATAGGGAGGCTGGAGTGGCATCCAAATTGCCAAGGCCTATGAGGAGCTATGGAAATTGTCACCAAGAATCTTGGAGTGAGATTGATGGGATTTTGTTTAGGGTATTATTTTATTTTAATGATGAGAAAGATTAATAATTGGTGATTAAAGTTGCTATTAGCCATGCAATGGCAATTTCTAGTATTTGTGCAATTTCTAGATCAAAATAATGGGATATACTCAGAATCAACTAATTTAAGGGGAAAATTGAGATTACTTGTGAAGCATACCACTTCAAGTATGTACAATAATCTTTCTAATCCTTCCCAAAGGAATGTATAGCTTTTAATGAGATAAAAATAAAATGAGAAAAGCATATGTGATATTTTTAAACACTATATAAGGACTCTGTTTTTCTCCGTTAAAGTGGAATATATAGAAGCTGCACAATGAAAGAAATTTTGTCTCAGTGTGGGTTCAGTGGTTCCATAGACCTTTTCTGTAATTATTATTTTAGATATAACTTTGTAATTGATAATATAGACAGCGGAGCTCTCATTCGTTCCCTGGTGTATTATTAACAGTAGTTGTCAATTTTTTGCATACATCATCAATCTCCTAGATACAGAGTTAACTACATAATTTGTGAGACATAATGAAAAACAAAGACCTTTTCTCAAAGACATAAAGAAAAGTATTGCTAAAGCTATATATAAAGTTTTTCTTCTAGTCTATTTATTATGGTGCTCAAAGTTACTTAGAATTCAATATTATTCTAAATAAAGAAAAATTAAAATTTTATACTCCTAACATGGGTTTTACTTTTTATCTTTAATTGTGCAAATCTATCTTTAAATGCAAATTTAGAAGTATTTAAGCTATAGGAAGAATAAGCAAACTGTTCAAATTTTTGTAACCCATATCCATAGGGAGTCTAGAGTTAGACAGAATAAATAAATACAATTCAGAGCCAAGAAGATTGAAAAGAGAAAGAATGTATCCTCTCAAGCATAGAACCGTCCCAAAGTGAAGCTTCTAGGAATGGGGAGATCTTTATAGTTTTCCGTAAGCATTGGTATGTAATCATTGACTTGACAGAAGCCTTGACAAATGCTTTCTTCTCCATTCTCATTATCAAGATGTTATTAGAAAAGAGCCAGACAGTTTGTTTTTATATATAACAAAGTTGAAAGTATGCTTTCATGAAGCTCTTTCACTTTTTCAGAGCTCTTATTTTTCTGTCATAATATAGTATTCAAAAACATTAATTGTCCTGACATTCTGCAAAACATCAAAGGCATCCATTCTGCTGATGCTATCATGGTGCCAGTTGAATTTAGTGAGTAGGAAATAACCTAGTAACAAACATGTATGTTGAAGATAAAGGATAAATCCCATGATGTTTCATGGACCTTCTGCATCTGTAGACTTTTTAATCATCTTATAGTTTGGAATATAGCAGGAGAGCTTCTCTCTACGTAGAGAAGAGAAATTCATCCAGGGGCTGAGGAGAATGAGGCAAGAGGATTGCAAGTTCAAAGCCAGCCTCAGCAACTTAGCAAGGGCCTCAGCAACTTAGTGAGACTCTGTTGCAAAATAAAAAATAAAGAGGCTGGTAATGTGGCTCAGTGGTTGAGCACCCCTGGGTTCAATCCCTGGTACCAAAAAAAAAAAATAAATAAATAAAAAAAATAAAAAAAGACAAAGTCATTGTCTCTTATTCTCCAAGCCTGCAAAAATGAGGCACTAAATTTACTGGGCTTCTTTTATTTTTGAAGCACCTTCATAATACAGTTCTAACTTATTTGTTTCAAGGCTTATTTGGTTACCAGTTTCTAAGAGTTTTATAACAAGCATAGTCAGGTTGTTGTGTAAGCTTCCCTGCCATTTGTACCAGATGATGAGCAAAATCAGTTCAGGAAGTATCTGTGGTGGATATGAAAATTGAGAAAAGTGCATCTAGTCTCAGTAATAAAATCATGGTTCACACTTCCAAAGTTGTGTAGCAAGACCAAACTTTACATAAATATTCATTCTTTGAGTAAGTATATATGTGCCTATTTCTCAACCCAAATTCATGGCCTCCAATAGGATACATTAACAATAAATGAATTTATTTAATCATAGAAAAGAAAAAGATTCAGCCCTAATGTGTTCATATGTTATATCAGGGCTAGCCATGACAATGATGAAAGAAAATCATTCTCTTAGGCCAAGCTGTGAACAGCTTAGTAGGATGTCCACTTTGCATGCCTAGAGAGATGGCCTAAGTTATGAATCTACAAGAATTTATAAGCACTGTCAATGCTCAGCATTTGACACTGTCTTGCTAGCTAGTGGTAAGTCTTAAGAAACAATAGAGAACTATCAACATAAAAGGAAGTCTGAGGTCTGATCTCTGATGAACAGATCCACTAGAGTGACTTCAAAGTGAAGATCTTTCTTGAATGCTTGTCAGTTGGCAATTATTACAGAGAAGCAACAGTCAAGTAGACAGTATAACTTACATGACGGACATTAACCATCTTTTCCTCTCAGACATCTCAGTGGTCCCACAATATTCTCACAAACAAATAATAGTGATCGGATTGAGTCTATGCATGGATCTAAAAATATGAGCTCCCTTTCACCAAGACTCATCTCACTATAGCACTGGTAGCTGATAACATGCTACACTTCTTTGGAAAAAAAACCTAAAAGTTAGTGAAAAATGACAATATAGATCCCCTTCTACCTTTGAGGGGATAGATATTTATCTTATCTAGTATAGATACATACTCTGGGTAGGGTATTTTCAATTTTGATATCATAAAAAGGCATAGAAAATTCTACTATATTATGACTGACAAAATTTTCTTAGAAAAAGCAGCTCTCTTATATGGTTAAAAACTATTCAGAAATGGACTCACCATAGGATATTCTATACTATATATTCTTACTATATATTTTATACTATATATTCTTACTATACTTGTCACCTAAAAACATCTTATGTAAAGAATGATAGAACAGCATATTGAAGGTTTCTACAAAGCACCAGCTTTGGATATAACAGTGTATAATACAGATATGGTCTTCCATGGGAGTCAACATTAATTTAACCAAAATGTCATATTTTGTTCAGCATTCCCAAGCTATTAGAATTCATGTGATAGGGAAACAAAATTTGGATTTGAAATTCACCTGTTTCACTATTTAGGCCCAGTAACCAACTTATAAACATAGGCTTTCCTACAAGTACAGGATTTATTGAGCAAGAGATTCTGGGTACTAGAGAAGGATCCACTGCTGAGAGTAGACAGAGTTCCACTGAACTAGAGTCTGGGATATAAACTGGCCAGGAACAGCTGATTACCACCATTAAGAAGAGAGAAAAAAAGAACGTACAGTGGGATAGACTTTGATCTCTGAGAAACAAAAGACAATATTTATTGGCAGAATATTCATTTCCTTTTAGATGTATTACCCTTGTTAAACTACCAGCTGTATTTTCTTATTAAATTGTGAATAGCTTATAAATACACTACCTTGCTCCCTTCCCTCCTTCCTGGGCTACTTTCCCTTTTCATCTCAATCTTTCAACCCTGGGGTTGTATATACCAATAAAGCTCTGGTTCATTAAGTTGCCTTGATTTCTGTTTCCTACAGAAAACACACCTTTCTCTTTTGGAAATGAACTAGTTAAGTAGAAATCCAATTAATGACCATAAACAAATAAGAAACTCATGGAATGTTTACAATTTTAAGACCTTGTCCATGTAAATACAATAGAACTGAAATATCAGTCAGAAAATATTAATGTGGAGACTTCATTGATTATATTATAGTGTTTTGATCACATATTTAATGCATAATTATGAAGACAAGCAAAATAGAAAAAATCCTCATAAGAAAAATATCCAAAGTAATATCAATAAAACTAATATTTATTTTACAGCAATAAAGACTTTAAACAATGTCCTCTTTTACACTCAGATGTGTTTTGGGGGTGGGTAAATATTACCAAGGGGTAGCACAGATAAATTTCCAAGAAGAGTTGTGTGATAAACTATATATAATAGTAAATTTGAAAAACAGAAATACATATGATATGCATGGGAGACAAGGACAAGGTCAGGAGTAGGCTTATTTTGGTAGAGCAAAAGAAATCCAAGAAGAATAAATAAATGAGATCAGACTCAAGTGAATATGATTGCTAATCTAAATTCTGATACCAATTTGGAGTCTGGTTACAAAATAAGTTAATGACAGATTTAGCAGAAATGAAGAAGTTCAAGAAAGAATTGATGTGGTAAATCAAAATAAGTTTTACAAAACCTGTTGCATTTGAAATAATAAGTCACAATAATTATAAATATTTAGTGGGAAGCTAGAAATTTAAATTTTAGGTAAGGTAAATGTTTTTTTAAAGATAAATGTTAGATAGAAGTCTTTTTAATTGATGGAGTAATGATATCCTTTCATGTTTTAACCAATGTGATCTAATCCAAGAAATAAGAAGAAAAAGAACTATACATGAAAGAGGCAAAAACATGAAAATTTTAAGGACAAGTTACTTAGCAAAATTTAAAAAGTAGGAAGATAAGTAGAGAATAATAACTGAGAAAAATATTATGGATTTGCCATTAGTACCCCAAGAAGCACTTTTAGCCAGTGATAAATATACAAGTCTGACTGTAATAATGTAAAGGATAAATAGTGACTGTAGTAAAAGAAGAAGTAGAATACCCTTTGGGGTGCTATTGTGCTAACAAGAGAGAATTCAATACCATAGCTTTACCCTGGTATTAATTTTTCTAAAGATTTCTATATCCTTAAAGATGACAATATCCTTAATAATCATCTCAAAATGTGCAAGAGTGGAGGTCCTCAAAATGCAAGTTCTAGGCTTATTGAAACACAGAGAAGAACAACTATATAATTATGAGAAGAAAAAAATTAAATGAGTATAAGGGGAAGGTAGAACAAATGAGAGATTATTTTAAAATGTTTCCTTGTGAAGAAAGTGATAAAAATTTAGCCAATATTTCAAAAAACAATGTTGTTCATGTTTTAAAATTTGTAATGAAAATTTTCAGCACTAATTTTGAATTATGAATATGTATCAAATTTTAAAATATTGAAGATAAAGAAATATGAGAGCATATCAATCCAAACAAAAACAGAAAGGATAGAATAGCTATAATCCAAAGGTATACAGGATTTAGACAATAGAGAACACAGATTGTAAATAAAATATCTGCCTGAAACAGTAGACTTGAATCAATGATAGTGACATTATTTCTTTAATTTTTCATGTTCACTTAATGTTTACCATATGCCCTAATAAATATTCAAAGAGATGTCCTGAAATTGATCATTGATTTAATTTTGGTTTAGTTTTAATAAATTAAATCAGACCAACATATGAATTATATTAATATGTAAATCAGAGAATTTTTATTTTTAATTTTTTTCTTGAACACTACAAAGATCTTAGAACAGATTTACAAAATAATTTAATACTCATTATTTAATGAGAAAAGAGCATTAAAAATAAGGTTTATTATGGCTGGGGCTGTAGTTCAGTGGCAGAGCGCTCGCATAGCATGGGTGAGGCACTAGGTTCGATCCTTAGCACCTCATAAAAATTTTAAAAAATAAAGGCATGCTATCCACCCACAGCTAAAGACAAAGAATGTACAGTTGGATAGACTTTGATCTCTGAGAAACAAAAGACAATATTTATTTGCAGAAAATTCATATTATAGTTTGAAGAAGTCAAGAAATATGCAAGTAGAAGAATTTTGATAGTTACTTTGTTTAGATTTTAAATATCAACCATGGTATTAATAGTTAAAAACAGCAATTATCATTATGAAATTCTTACCTGGAGACTAGAATACAACTATTATCAAAAATGTGTATGTACTCTGGCTAGATTTCTGTTGTGCAAATTCCTCTCTTCTAAGTCTTGAACATACTCATTCCTCTAATCCCTACCAACTGGGGGAGCTGAAGATAACTACTAAAAAATTATTTTCACTGAACTGAAATAATTCCTTTTACATATTATTCCCATTATCTCTGGTACCTCATGAAGACAGAACTCAATAAAGTAACAGACAACTCATATTTTATACACATTATTTTCACATTTGCTATAAAAGGTAGAAGCCCATATGGTCACTCATATTTGCCATCTTGAAAACTCAAGCCTAGTTTAAGTAAACATTCTAAGTTTTCATAAATATGGTTGAGAAAGTGTTCAAAAGTAGGCTCTATGGCTCCAAAATTCACAATTAATCATAAATTATGTTGTGTATAAGTATGCCTTAAATAAAATGCTGCTGAAAAATATTGGGTATATATCCCATGATCGTGATATGACTTTTTAATTTTCTTTGAAGTTTTCCTATTAATGATTTGTAATGAATTTGTTCACTTTTTAAAATTTATATATTTATTTATTTGTTCTTATTAGTTATACAAGACAGCAGAATGCATTTTGATTCATAGTACACAAATGGAGCACAATTTTTCATTTCTCTGGTTGTACACAAAGTACAGTCACACCATTTGTATCATCATGCATGTACCTAGGGTAATGATGTTGTCTCATTCCACCATCTTTCCTAACCCCATGCCCCCTTCCCTTCTTCTCCCTCCCCTTTGCCCTATCCAAAGTTTCTCCATTCCTCCCATGCCACCCCTTTCCATTATGGATCAGTATCCACTTATCAGAGAAAACATTTGGCCTTTGCCTTTGGGGGATTGGCTTACTTCACTTAGCATTATATTATCCAACTCTCCATCCATTTACTTGCAAATGCCACCATGATTTTATTCTGTTTTAATGCCGAGTAATATTCCATTATATATATATATACATTTTCTTTATCTATTCATCTATTATAGGGCACCTACGTTAGTTCCATAGTTATCTATTGTGAATTGAGCTGCTATGACCATTGATGTGACTGTGTCACTGTAGTAGTATGCTGATTTTAAGTCCCTTAGTTATAGACCAAACAGTGGGATAGCTGAGCCAAACAGTGGATCCATTCCAAGTTTTCTAAGGAATCTCCATACTGCTTTCCATATTGGCTACACCAATTTGCAGTCCCACCAGCAATGTAAGAGTGTGCCTTTTCCCCCACATCCTCACCAACATGTATTGTTGCTTGTATTCTTAATCACTGCCATTCTGACTGGAGTAAGATAAAATCTTAGAGTAGTTTTGATTTCTCTAATTACTAGAGATGTTGAACACATTTTCATATATTTGTTGATCAGTTGTATATCTTCTTCTGAAAAGTATCTGTTCAGTTCCTTAGCCCATGTATTGATTGGATTATTTGTTTTTTTGATGTTAAGTTTTTTGAGTTCTTTGTATAGCCTGTAGGTTAGTGCTCTAGCTGATGTGCATGTGGTAAAAATTTGCTCCCACTCTGTGGGCTCTCTCTTCACATTGTTGTTTCCTTGGCTGAGAAGAAGCTTTTTAGTTTGAATTCATCCCATTTATTGATTCTTGATTTCATTTCTTGTACTTTATGAATCTTTTAAGGAAGTCAGGGCCTAATCCAACATGATGAAGATTTGGGCCTACTTTTTCTTCTAATAGGCACAGGGTCTCTAGTCAAATTCCTAGGTTCTTGGTCCACTTTGGGATGAGTTTCATGCATGGTGAGAAATAGGGGCTTAATTTCATTTTGCTGCATATGAATATCCAGTTTTCCCAGCACCATTTGTTGAAGAGGCTATCTTTTCCTCAATGTATGTTTGTGGTGTCTTTGTCTAGTATGAGATAACTGTATTTATGTGGGTTTGTCTCTGTGTCCTCTGCTCTGTACCATTGGTCTACAAGTCTATTTTGGTGCCAATACCATGCCGTTTTTATTACTATTGCTCTGTAGCATAGCTTGAGTTCTTGTATTGTGATGCCACATGCTTCACTCTTCTTGCTAAGGATTGCTTTGGCTATTTTGGGTCTCTTATTGTTTCCACATGGATTTCATGATTGCCTTTTCTATTTCTATGAGGAATGTTTTTGGGATTTTTATTGTGATTGCATTAAATCTGTATAATGTTTATGGTAGTGTGGTCATTTTGACATTAATGAATTTGTTCTCTTTGATGATTACCATAGTTGCAATTTCTGCATGAAAAACATGTCTTTACAAAATAAATAGACAAAGCAAAACTGACTACAACATGATTACCCTTAAAAAGGAAGTTAAAAGAAAATTTAAAGCTGTTTTTCTCATTTTTTTTCCAATTCTGACTAAATCTGACATATTTTTTTACCTCTAAACCATGTAGAGCAGCTAAAAACAATTATCTAGAATAATTCAATTTCAAGGTGGAAAGAACTTATGTTCATCTAATCAATAGTTTTTCCTAATCGATTAGAGTACTAAATTTTTGTTTTTAGCCAGATATAATGGTCCATACCTGTAATCCCAGGTCTAGGGAGGATAAGACAGGAGCATCACAAGTTTCAAAGCAGCTTAGAAAGACCCAGTCTCAATATAAAAAAATTACAATGGCTGGGGTACAGCTCAGTGGTAGAGTGTCACTGGATTAAATCTCCATTACTGAAAAAGAAGAGAAAAAGAGTAAGTAAGTGTTGGTTTTTAAAGCATAGCATTTAGGAGCAAGTGCTTACATCTAGTAACAATGCTGAAAATGTGGCAGGGTTGTTTACCTTTCACAATTTTAAAACCACTACCCTTTAATGTTGTACTTCATTTTTAAAACCACATGTGGATTATTGTACCATGCACTATAAATTGGAGGTAGTCTTTCTTTTATATTCTCAATTTTTCAAATATTGGGACAAGTTAGATATCATTTGAAGATAATCACTAAAATATAATTTGGTGATTTTCCCCATTCATTCACTAAGTGATTATTGAAAATCTACTTTGTGACAGGTATTCAAATTATATTCTGAATATTAATAATTAAGGAAATAAGACTAACATCAGTTGGCCTAACCAATTACAAAAGTCTTGAATTCCTGCCAACTCATAATATTTGAGATGACTGCAACTATGAATAGTTCACAATTTCATGATTTAGGTTTTTATGCTATTAAATACAATATTTAATTCTCTTAGTGATGTGGGTAGTTTGATTAGTCCCTTTCAAAAATGAGAAAAATGAGATACAATAGGTTTCTTACCTTCAACAATTTCCCAAGTTTTCATATTAATAATAAAGGTGTGAGGCAGACCTGCGACCGACCGGCAGAATAGGCCCAGCGGCCCGCCGGTGTGGTAGACACGTCACCCCAATTGGAGGAGGGGCAGAGCAGAGCCGCGGCCCGCGCATGCAAGGTAGGCACACCTTCGACCGACAGGGAGAACAGACCCAGTGGCCCACCGGCGTGGTAGACACATCACCCTAATTGGAGGAGGGGCAGAGCTGCTGCCCGCGCCTGCAATGTAGGCAGACCTGCGACCTACCAGGAGAACAGGCCCAGCGGCCCGCCAGCGTGGTAGACACATCACCCCAATTGGAAGAAGGGCCCAGCTGCCGCCCGCAAGGTAGGCAGACCGTGCGTCCCAGAGAAGGGGCCCAGCGGCCCGCCGGCCTAGTTGAAAGATCACCCCAATTGGAGGAGGGGCACAGCCGCGGCCCGCGCCTGCAATGTAGGCAAACCTGCAACCTGGAGAACAAGCCCAGCGGCCCGCCAGCATGGTACACAGATCACCCCTATTGGAGGAGGGGCCCAGCCATTGCCCGCAAGGTAGGCAGACCACGCGACCTGGAGAAGGGGCCCAGCGGCCCGCCGGCATGATAGACAGTTCACCCCAATTGGAGGAGGAGCAAAGCTGCTGCCCGCCCCTGCAAGGGAGACTTTGCAACTATACAAGAGCAATTTAAATATATAGAGGGAAAATTCAATAACACAACAGTTTCACCAAGCAGAAAGAAACGAGAGCAATATGAAAAGACAAGGAAAGAAAGGACCACAAGCAATGCAGGTCAACTCAACTTTAGAAGAGGTAATAGCTGCAGCAGATGGAATGTCAGATAAAGAATTCAGGATTTACATGCTTCAGATGATCTGGAGTCTAAAGGAAGACATTAGACAGCAAAATCAGACAATGAAAGATGACTTCAACAATGAATTACATAAACAAATCCAAGAAGCAAAAGATCAACTATATAGGAAGATAGAGGTTATAAAAAAACAAACAAAAATCCTAGAAATGCAGGAAGCAATAAACCAACTTAAAAACTCAAATGAGAATACTACCAGCAGAGTAGAACACTTAGAAGATAGAACATCAGACAACGAAGACAAAGTATTTCAACTTGAAAAGAGCATAGACAGCTCAGTGAGACTCTTAAGAAACCATGAGCAGAACATCCAAGAAATATGGGATAACATAAAGAGACCAAACTTAAGAGTCATTGGGATACAGGAAGGTATAGAGGTTCAAACCAAGGAATGAGCAATCTGTTCAACGAAATAATATGAGAAAACTTCCCAGACTTGAAGAATGAGACAGAATCCCAAATCCTAGAAGCCTACAGGATGCCGAATGTGCAAAATCATAAGAGATCCACACCTAGACACATTATAATGAAGATGCCCAACATACAGAATAAGGAGAGAATTTTAAAAGCTACAAGAGAAAGGAAGCATATTACATTTAGGGGTAAACCAATCAGGATAACAGCTGATCTTTCAACACAGACTCTGAAAGCTAGAAGATCCTGGAACAACATATTTCAAATGCTGAAAGAAAATGGGTTCCAACCAAGAATTGTGTATCCAGCGAAATTAAGCTTCAGGATGGAAGATGAAATTAAAACCTTCCACGATAAACAAAAGTTAAAAGAATTTGCAGCTAGAAAACCATCTCTTCAAAACATCATCGGCAAAACATTGCAGGAAGAGGAAATGGAAAATAATAATGAAAACCAACAGTGGGAGGTAGTACAGTAAAGGGAAAAAAATAATCAAAAAGGAAAAACAAACCATGTTAAGTAACATAAATAAACAAATATGGCTGGAAGAACAATCCATATCTCAATAATAACCCTAAATATTAATGGCTTAAACTCACCAATTAAGAGACACAGGCTAGTACAATGGATCAAAAAAAAATCCAACAATATGCTGCTTACAGGAGACGCATTTGATAGGAAAAGACATACATAGACTGAAGGTGAAAGGTTTGGAAAAATCATATCACTCATATGGACTTCGGAAACAAGCAGGAGTGTCCATACTCATATCAAATAATATAGATTTCAAGCCAAAGTTAATCAAAAGGGATAAAGAGGAACACTACTTACTGCTCAAGGGAACCATACACCAACAAGACATAACAATCATAAATATATATGCTCCAAACAATAGTGCAGCTATGTTCATCAAACAAACTCTTCTCAAGTTCAAGAGTCTAATAGACCACCATACAATAATTATGGGAGACTTCAAAACACCTCTCTCACAACTGGACAGATCTTCCAAACAAAAGTTGAATAAAGAAACTATAGAACTCAATAATACAATTAATAACCTAGACTTAATTGACATAAATAGAATATACCACCCAACATCAAGTAGTTACACTTTGTTCTCAGCAGCACATGGATCCTTCTCAAAAATAGATCATATATTATGTCAGAGGACAACTCTTAGACATTGTAAAGGAGTATAGATAATACCATGCATCTTATCTGATCATAATGGAATGAAACTGGATTTCAACGATACAAGAAGGAAGGAAAAATCATGCATCACTTGGAGAATGAACAATAGTTTACTAAATGATCAATGGGTTATAGAAGACATCAAGGAGGAAATTTAAAAATTCTTAGAGACAAATGAAAACACGGACACAACATATCGGAATCTATGGGACACAATGAAAGCAGTTCTAAGAGGAAAATTCATTGCCTGGAGTTCATTCCTTAAAAAAAGAAAAAAACAACAAATAAATGATCTCACACTTCTTTTCAAAATCCTAGAAAAAGAAGAGCAAAACAACAGCAAAAGAAGTAGAAGGCAAGAAATAATTAAAATCAGAGCTGAAATTAATGAAATCGAAACAAAAGAAACAATTGAAAAAATTGACAAAACTAAAAGTTGGTTTTTAGAAAAAATGAATAAGATCAACAGACCCTTAGCCATGCTAACGAAGAGAAGAAGAGAGAGAACTCAAATTACTAGCATACGGGATGAAAAAGGCAATATCACAACAGACACTTCAGAAATACAGAAGATAATCAGAAATTACTTTGAATCCTTATACTCCAATATCAATTGAGGAAATAGAAGAAACCATCAAAAGACTACCAACTAAGAAAAGCCCAGGACCAGATGGGTATACAGCGAAGTTTTACAAAACCTTTAAAGAAGAACTAATACCAATACTTTTCAAGCTATTCCAGGAAATAGAAAAAGAGGGAGAACTTCCAAATTCATTCTACGAGGCCAACTTCACCCTGATTCCTAAACCAGACAAAGACAATTCAAAGAAAGAAAACTACAGACCAATATCTCTAATGAACCTAGATTCAAAAATCCTCAATAAAATTCTGGTGAATCGGATACAAAAACATATCAAAAAAATTGTGCACCATGATCAAGTAGGATTCATCCCTGGGATGCAAGGCTGGTTCAATATACGGAAATCAATAAATGTTATTCACCACATCAATAGACTTAAAAATAAGAACCATATGATCATCTCGATGGATGCAGAAAAAGCATTGGACAAAGTACAGCATCCCTTTATGTTCAAAACTCTAGAAAAACTAGGGATAACAGGAACATACCTCAATATTGTAAAAGCTATCTATGCTAAGCCTCAGGCTAGCATCATTCTGAATGGAGAAAAATTGAAGGCATTCCCTCTAAAATCTGGAACAAGACAGGGATGCCCTCTCTCACCACTTCTGTTCAACATAGTTCTCGAAACACTGGACAGAGCAATTAGACAGACGAAAGAAATTAAAGGCATAAAAATAGGAAAAGAAGAACTTAAATTATCACTATTTGCAATGACATGATTCTATACCTAGCAGACCCAAAAGGGTCTACAAAGAAACTATTAGAGCTAATAAATGAATTCAGCAAAGTGGCAGGATTTAAAATCAACACGCATAAATCAAAGGCATTCCTGTATATCAGCGACAAATCCTCTGAAATGGAAATGAGGACAATCACTCCATTCACAATATCCTCAAAAAAAAAAAAATACTTGGGAATCAACCTAACAAAAGAGGTGAAAGACTTATACAATGAAAACTACAGAACCCTAAAGAGAGAAATAGAAGAAGATCTTAGAAGATGGAAAAATATACCCTGTTCATGGATAGGCAGAACTAACATCATCAAAATGGCGATATTACCAAAAGTTCTCTATAGGTTTAATGCAATGACAATCAAAATCCCAATGGCATTTCTTGTAGAAATAGAGAAAGCAATCATGAAATTCATATGGAAAAATAAAAGACCCAGAATAGCAAAAACAACTCTAAGCAGGAAGTGTGAATCAGGCGGTATAGCGATTCCAGACTTCAAACTATACTACAGAGCAATAGTAACAAAAACAGCATGGTACTGGTA